GGAGTAAAGTTGAGCCCAGAAAGAAGGTAGGGGTGGCAGAAGGTGTTTTAAGATTTGGTTTTCTTTCTCATTACCCCACTCTGATTTGACTGGTAATAATTTTATTTTTTTTTTCCCCAAGTCAAGTCTGTTTTGCACATGATAGTAATTGGTGAATGATCTCTCCCTGTCCTTATCTCGACCCATGAGCTTTTTGTATTTTCTCTCCCCTGTTCAGCTGAGGAAGGGAAGGGATAGAGTGGCTTTGGTGGGCACCTGGCATCCAGCCAGGGTCAGCCCACCACAGGGATATGTCTAAAACACAGCACAGGAATACTGAAGTTCCCTTGCAGACCTGTTACACCCTGGCTATAGCAGCGGAGTTCAGCACAGGCTACCTACCCTGTAAAAGAAACCCCAAAGTATCTACAGAATACATAGAAAACTAATGTTACTCCTAAACCCGATGTACGTCTAGCTTTGTATATGAAAAACCAAGAGCATTGTCTCTTTTTATATTTCAGATGACTGGCTTGATGTTAAGTATTTCATAAATCAAATAGATTTTCATCCTAAGTGCTATACCACGAAAACAAAATTAAAGCAATGTTTTTATCAGGGAAGTCAATTATTTTGGTGCACTCCTTTTTTTACATATCGAGCATGTCACAAAAATTAACAAAGTATAATACACAAATTTTGCCTACCTGAATTACAGGTATGATATCATTTAAAACTGAAATCACTCATAGAACAATGCTATTAACAATCTTCCTTCACCAATCCCACATCCAACAAACAGGTCTATTGGACAAATCACTACCTACATAGCCAAAAGCCAACCATACCCTGGGCTGTATCAAGAGAAGTGTGACCAGCGGTTGAGGGAGGTGATTCTCCCCCTCTACTCCGCTCTCATGAGACCCCACCTGGAGTGCTGGGTCCAGCTCCAGAGCCCCAACATAAGGACATGGACCTGCTCAAGCAGGTCCGGAGGAAGGTCACAAAGATGATCAGGGAGCTGGAGCACCTCCTGTATGAAGACAGGCTGAGATAATTGGGTTTGTTCAGCCTGGAGAAAAAAAAAGGCTCTAGGGAGACCTTACCAGTACTTAAAGAGGACTACAGGAAAGCTGGGGAGGGACTCTTTGTCAGGGAGTGTAAGGACAGGACAAGGGGTAACGGTTTTAAACTGAAAGAGGGTAGAATTAGATTAGATGTAAGGAAGAAATTATTTATTGCGAGGGTGGTGAGACACTGGAACAGGTTGCCCAGAGAAGTTGTGGATGCCCCTCCCTGGAAATTTAACAAATGCTACAGAAGGATGTCTAGGTATTCATTTTTTAAAACAAGCTCCCATTTCCATGAGTTGCAGTGATTGTCCTGGAAATTAAACTTTTTTTTTCCCCCCTTGAGTTTTTAATATGCATTGTATTATGATTGTTAATCTCTCCATGTATCACATCTTTTCTTTCTCCTAAATCAACAGGACTATCTGACATAACAGCAACTAACTTTGCAGGATATTGAACATCCACATTCTCACAAAATCTATTAGATATACAAAACAAATTATATCACTCATTTTTAAAGTGAAAAGTGTTCTCTTTGGGAATGATTGAAAAAAGAAATACAAGCATCAGCAAGATTAGACTATCCATCTTTTTACGGTCAGTTGCTGCATGCCAGTGTTTTAACCAGCATATCAAAAACATACATGCACACTCAAAAAGACAAACTAAAGTAAATTATTACCCAAAGTAAATTCTTATGCAGCAACTAACAGAATGTTTGCATTTCTTTTTAGGTATTGTGATCAATTGACACTCTGTACTAAAACCAGGGCTAAATAAAACCCTCCCCTAAGTGATATTGCTAAACATGAGATCCCATTCTCCTTAATATGGAAAAGTCTGTGAGCACATACAAACACATTTTTTCATAAGTAGGTAATGGTTACTTGTTGGAGTACGTAAATTACATTCTTTGTCTACTCTGTCGACACAGTTTGATGCAGGCTAATTCTGGTGCCAAAAGTTTAAGGGCAATTGACAAAACTTCAAGAGTGTTAGAACGATTTTCCATTTAGTATCTCCCTCCACCATTTACTTCATTGCCTTTTACTGCACCAAATAACCTCTCTCTTGCAAGCCTTGATCTGTGAATGACACTGGAAAACTCATTATATAGAAAAAGCATGTCTCAATGGAGGCACATCTTGATTTATTTGACAGCGTGAAAGAAGGAACAATAAGAAGAAAGAGAACAGAACCGGAAAAAAGTGAAGTGAGTTAAGGAAGGCCCTGGCATTTTTTACGTAGCATTCATGATTTTAGAACAGGTAGGCTGAATGCCAGGAGAAAGGAGGTCAGTAAGACCATGTGACTGCTTAGCAATTAGACTTGCTCAATAGTCCAATTACACAAAAATATTAGTCCACGAGTGTTACATTACTGTTTAAAGAGAAAAGTTAACCAGAAAGCACTTATGTATGAAATGCTGCTATTTGCCAGGTTTAACACACATTTTTAGAAATGAACCATACCAGTGACTCTGCAGAGGGACAATATTCTAACAATAAATTAAAGCTCCTGGTTTCTTGTATTCTTGAGCCATTTTTCCTCATATCTATTGCGTTAGTCATACTTTGAACTCTGAGAGACAATAGTTTTGCCCAAGGCATTAGGACCATAAACTCACCAGAACATCAACTCTCGGTGCCAATCAACTCAAACTAAGAGAGGACTGCTGTAAATGCACATCAGAAGGTTAAAGCTGACTTTTGTTCCAAATGATGAAGTGCTTCTGCTCCTAACCTCAAATAAATTATTTTTGACTAATTCAACACCCTGTTCCACAGGCATGTAAGCAAGAATCTCACTTACAGTCATCAAGTGACCAAGGAGATAAAATGCTCGATTATTACTCACAAATGCCAAATGAGACTGGCAAAACAAAAAACTGCATCGCAAGTCTTGTGTATGCATACTGTGAATGCAAGTGTTACTACTGGTTAAAACCAGCTCATTAAAATGACTGGAACCTAAAATGGATTCATTCCAAACTAGTAACTGTTCATTTAAAAATTTATTGAGAACATTCTAAGAAACATACAGCTCTAGCAATCTGAAGATCTCACAAAACTGGGCTATGCAGACAGTGAGATTTCCTACTCAAATCCATGTGAGGATGTGCCTTGAGGGTATTTGGGTCCCAGGAGATTGTCTGAAGTGCATTGGATAGGGGAGTTGTAATTTACCCTTATTCTGGAAGATCTTCATGGCAGGAGAAGGGGAGAAGCACACAAAAACAAAGGACTAAAAGAAAAACGCTTCTCTTCAATAAATAAGAAAAAAGATGTTTTTCTTCAAATGCAAAGTGCAGTGCAGGGACTAGTTGTCTTTTAGAACACTGAGAACACTGTTAAACCAACTAGCCAATACTTCGCACACAAATGTACTCAAGGACTGTACTAACCAGCAATCATATTAAAGTCATTGAAGAACCAGGGCAGCAGCACTGAAGACATGAACTTCCTTTTGCTAGAATCAGTTCACATTTGTCTATCATTCACTAGCTTAGAGAAAATGACCAAAAGCATTTTAGTATTTGAATTACAAAACACATTAGAAACCTATGAAGTATTCTTAAGACACGTGATTTCCTTAACACTTAGACATGCACCAATTTCCCGCATTCTTTTAAAACTTAAGTAGCTGTTCATCCATAAAACTAAGACCTGGGAGCTTTCTTTATAAAGTCAGGATTTGTTATTCAAAAAAACGTATCCCCTTCAAAACAAAAACGGCTCTATAAAAGAAATGGACATAATGAACCTCAGCTAAGGGAAGTATCTAACAATTGTTATTCTTCAGTGGTATGAACATTGGTTTTGTCAGTGAAAATGGAATAACCATCAAGTTAAAGCTCACAAAAAAACATTTCTAGCATTTTTATCTTCTGAACACCAAAAATAGGACCATAAGGAAACTTCCCCAAATTTGAAAAACACCTCCAAAGGTAAGTTAACTTGCTGGTAAAGTATTTAATGACCTGAGATATAAATTATTAAATCTGAAAAAAAGAATCCTTGAAAGAAGTAAACAGGACCCAAAGTATCTCAACTTTGTCATTTTTCTATGACGTGGTGTTAAGCCAAGTTTCACTGTGCTTGTTCCATAATTAGGCAGCTCTTCTCAGCATCATAGCCTGGGCAGGCTAAGCTCATGAGCGTTTCAAGTTCCTGACACTGGATGGAGAGATGATACAAGAACTCTACCACATTACCAACCCTTTTAAAAGGGTAGTTACTTTCAGAGCCCTAGCGATGTTCTAACTAATCTCGCAAGGTAAGTATGCACAGATGCCCCATTAACCTCTGCCTTATTATGACACACATTTATCATGGAAGCACCAGTCACAGCTCCACAGTAAAGTTCATTTTTGTATTAAGTAGGAATAGATCTGCATGCTCTGGAAAGGGACGCTACCTACCCTTCCGGGCAGGAAAGCTACTTTGAGAAATTTACTTCTGAACCAAGCAAGCAGCTTCACAGGTTTTTTCCAGGACGGAGTCACCCTGTGCCGGCACGGGGTTTTTGGCTGCCCAGAGGGGTTGAGGTGAGGCAAGCTCTGCGGGGCTGCTCCTCCCGGGGCTTCCAGCCCAGCAGCAGCCCCGCACCGCGCTCCAGCGCAGGCGGGCGCCGGGGGCGCGGCCGGAACTAAACACCCCCCACCCCCCGCCCCGAAAAAACAGCCCCTCGCCCCTGCGTGGGCCCGCACTCCGCCAGAGGGTTCCCCGCTTCTACCCCCCCCCCCCCCTTCCCTTCCCTTCCCCGCCGCGGCAGCCGCAGCCCGGGCCGGCGCAGGGGCTGGGTACGTAACACCGGAGCCGCGGGGAGGGAAGCGGCGCTGGCGGCGGCCCAACCGGGCGGGGAGGGGAGGGGATGGGGGGGGGAGGCAGCGTGACCGCACGCGTAACGCGGGGACCGGGGCCCCCTCACCGGCCGCCCCACACTCACCGCCACCTGTTGATGCCCACGTTGGAGGAACCGGCGAACCAGGGGTCCAGGATGTAGACGCAGCGGATCGTGTCGGCGCCTTGGATGCACTCCCGCAGCGCCGGGTTGTCGTGGAGCCGCAGCCCCTTGCGGAACCAGTGCACGGCGTTCACCCCCATGCCGCCGGGCCGGGGGCACGGGAGCTCAGCGGGAACCGCCGCCGCCGCCCGCGGGGACGCTCATGGCGCGGCGCCGCCGCTCGGCGCCCGGGCGAGCAACGGAGCGGGGGAAGAACACCCGCGGGGATGGGGCGGGGGGGGGGGGGGGGGGAATCTCCTCCGGGAGGCTCTAGGACCCGGCGGAAACGGCGGGAGCGACCGCCCGGCGGGGACGCATCACCCCGCGGAGCCCCCGCGCCGGGGAGAGCGGAGATGGAAGAAGGGAGATCAGGATCCGGCGGTGGTGACCGGCAGCCCCCGCCCCGCCGTGCCGTGCCGTGCCGTGCCGTGCCGTGCCGGCCGCGCTGCGCCTCGTGCCAGCCGGCGGCCGCCGCCTCGCCGCTCGCCCTGTGACTCTGCGCCGGGGCTCCGCCGGCCGCCCCGCCCCCCGCCGCCGATTGGTCGGCCCCGCCCCCACGTGACCACCGGCCCTCACGTTTCTGAAGTGTGTTCACTACCGGCGGAGGGGGGGGGGGGGGGGGGGGAATGAGGCTCAGCGGCCCGAGCGGCCCCGCTCCAGCCGTGGGGTCGCGGGGGGAGGGAGGGGGGAGTCCGCGATCTCGGCAGGAATCCCACCCGCCAGGGCTGCGCGTTTAGGCGGTGGGGAAGGAGGCCGGGGGCGGAGGCACCCCACCACCACCTCCTCCCCCTTCCCCCCCCACCGCCGCCACCTCCGCCTCCCGGCTCGGAGCGGCAGGACCCGGATGAGCACGTGGCTCCGAGGCGGCTCTTGCGGGCGATTCCTGGCGGGGGGGGGGGGGGGGGGGGGTGCGCGCGGCCGCTGCGCGCATGCGCGGGAGCGGCCGCGGGGGAGCGCGCGCCCACTGGCCTGTAATGCATAGCGGCCTGCGCGCTCCCGCCCCGCCGTAGCCCTCGCAGGTCTCGTCCCCCCACCCCGTGTTAGTTTAAGATGGGTGCCGTTGCTGGCGAAACGGACCCGCCGCAGCCCTGAGGTGGCGTCGAAAATACTGAGGGAGCGAGAGAGCAGCTCGGCCGCGCAGGGCCGGGGGGGGGGGGGCGGACGCGCTTCCAAGCGAGTTCGGAGGGTCTCTTCCGCGCTGTCAGTGAGGCCGATGGTAGCAAACGGTGTGTACCTGACGTCTCCTCGTTTAATCACAGAATTCCTGACTTACAGAATTCCAGAGCAGGACAGTGCCTTAAGAATTGTAGTTGCTCTCTCTACTAAAATATTTTTTTTTTCCGCTAAGATACAGAAAATTAAAGTCAACAGAGACGTGTATCACGTGCTTCTCTTCACTCTTTCCTTGCTTTGAATGACTTGATAAAATCTCGTTAATGATCAAGCAGCGAAGGCTCCAGCCATGATTAGAATCTGTTTCTATTCAGTTTTATATGAAATTTCTTACTAAAAAGTGTGGAGACTGAACTGTTCTTAAGCACTGACTTTAGCATAAATTACTAAAAGTTCTTCGATTATTACTTTGTCATATGTGCAACATCACACCCCACAGCTCATCATTCTGGTCCAAGAAGAACATACAGGATCTTGTCATATACCCTTGTCACAACTCAAGCCCAGAGTAGTTGGGTTATTATAAAGTTAAGCACTGTTTTCTCAATTAATACAAAGTACATTCTTCTTTGAGTTTTTTGTTTGTATTCTTCAGAAATGCCAAATATTTGGGGAATAATTTTCAAACAAAATAGAAAAAACAAATCTTGGTCATTAATAACCACTTTCATCAAACTTCTTTTAATCCTATCATTTTTGAGCACATTGAGGAATTCAATGACTCCTTATTTCCAAGGAAAATCACCTCACAATATAGTTTTTATTTCAAACTTCTAAGCTGCTTTTTCATACTCATGTTCCCTGCTAGCTCCTTACAAGGTTGCGACACTGAAGATGGCCCTGAATAAAGTCCAGCATCAGCTGATCTGCCTTCATGGGAATGCTGAGGTGGAAGCAGCCCTCCCTCACTAGATCTTATGGTTGCAACCATGAAGACCCATCAGTCTAAAAGTCATTTGCCACTACAGACTAAATAACAACGGTAGTATATACCATTAGCATATCATTACATCAAAACACCATTCGGCTCCAGCGATACCCTCCATGCTAGGCGGTTTGTTCTTCATTTAGAAGTGGAAGGAAGGTGAAGAATGTATTAATTAAAATGTCAAATCTCAAGGGAAGAGTCTCTCCAAGTTAGCAGAAAAAGAAAATAGAATCACAGTTAATCAAGGAACTCATACAAGTAAACCTCACTACTGTGATCTCTCGTGGATAACTTTTTTAAAGAACATACTGCTAATTTAGCCCAGACCGTGATCGCAAAAATGAAGATAGTGGGAAGGAGTTGGAAAAGAAGATAACATGAAGGCGTGAAATGACAAAAACATAAAGAAGCAAGTATACAATACATTGTGTATTACAAATTAGAAGCATTTTTTAGGTTTTTTTTAACATCATTGTATGTCATTTATATTCATAAACATTGTTAACTGTTCTTGAAACAGCAGTTATGTAGGAGACCAAGCCTGAACTGGGTTCATAGAGCAGTTTCTTTCTATAGCAGTTCTCTTCTGCATTAGATCTTTTTCGTAGATCTAACAGAGACTACTGAAAATGTAGCTGACAAAATAAGCATTCCCTGAGAGAATGGGACGGATTATTACCTTCTGAAGGATGTGACTGTGCAGACCCAGAGTTAGTTTAAAAAATCCTAACACACCTAGAAAAATCTTTCTAGTCTAGAAATAATTTATATGCCTCTGCTGATTTGTTACTCTAAGTTTAGAAGAGTGATAAAGTAGATACAGCTGAAAAAAGTAAGGTAAAGGTGATTTTCACCATCACTTCTGAAATACCACCAGCAAACCACTATAAATCCAACGACTGCATATGTGAATTTTATTCTTTTATTTCATAGTAAGTGCAGTGATCATATGAAAGAAAATATATTGATGTAAGACAAGTCTCTCATCATCACCTCAGTGTTGCCTCTCATCCAAATTTGATCCTGAAGAGATTTTTCGGGGTACTGCTTTCAAAAAGAGTAGAAGCGTCTTCGCAGAGGTTAGCACGTTTGGTATCAGGACCAGTCGGACTTGGATCCCTGGGTGGTGTGCACGGCAGCCGTTGCGCTGTACAGGGCGCAAGGCCTCACTAGCACCATTACTTCAACTTCACTTCTGGATAAATACACAAACCAGACCATTTCCATCACCGAATCAATGGGATCATTTGTTTCCTAAGAACACAGCCGCTCAAGTAGCCTAACTTCAGCATGTTTCTTCACTTGCTATCCTAGTACTTCGAGAGTATTGATTTTCACATTATTTTTTATTTACTACGCGAATTCGCTCTTGAAAGCTGTTTAAATCCAACCACCTTTAACTACCCCAAAGTCTCCTTGAACGCGTGGAAGAGCCTCAGGCGATTCTGCATCCTGAGGAGACAGCACCAGCGCTCTGACGGCACCCACTAAGAACGGCCTGCACCGGGACACGAGCTGCACCACCTTCCGCCGCGCCGCGCCACGCCGCGCCACCCACGCACTCCCGTGGGGCCGCCAAGTCCTTGTTCGCTGCAAACCCTGACCCGTACCTGTGCTCCACTGACACCCGCCCCCCCCCCCGCGCTGCCACATGGTACATCCTCCCCACCACCACCCCCCCACCCCCGCCGGCCGGCAGTGGTGGTAGGGCCCAGCGCGGCGCTCCGCGGCGGCGGGCCAGGTCAGGCGCGGCGCGGGGGTGCGGGACGGGGCCGGGCTCTGCCGCCTCCGACCGCCTCACACCGGCGGCGGCGGGGGGGGTGGCGCAGCGGCGGCCCGGCCGGCGCGGGGAGGGAAAGCCTTGGCGCGGCCCTCAGCCGGGGCGCCGCCGTTAGCCGGCCGGCTGACGTCACGCTCGGCCTCCCGTGCTTCGCCGGCAGACGCGGCCGTGTCGTGACCGTGACGGGGCCTGGAGATAAACGGGGCGAGCGGCAGGAGATGGCGTGGTTTTTGGTTTGGTTTTGTTTTTCTTAAAAAAAGATGCGTGTTTGGGAAGGAAACCCCTCGGGCGGGAGTCCTCGTTGAGGGCCGCGAGGGACGCTCCTGCCGGTGGCTTTGGCAGTAACGGCAGAACCGGCCCGGTACCCGCCGGGCCTGCTGCCCCCCCCCCCCCCCCCCCCCCCGGCCTCCCGCCGCGGAGCGGGGGCGAAACGGGAAGAACGGCCCGGGTTCCCACACCGGGCTGTGGTTGAGAACTTTCCCTCTTCTCCGGACTAAAAGCACCACTTGCCGACCTTTGGTTTAAATAGTGCTATGCTTCCGCGTGCTTTTTTTTTTTTTTTTTTTTTTTTTTTTTAATGTCTTACCTGGATAAGGAAAAGCTTTTTCCCCACAAGGACGGGCAAACAGTAGAACAGGCAGCCCCGAGCGGCGGGGTGGGCTCCAGCCGTGGAGGTTTTCAGGACCTGACTGGACAAAGCAGCCTGGTTTTACCTCAGCAGACCCTGCTTTGAGCTCTTGAGGTCCCTTCTGACCTGGACTATTTTAGGATTCTCTATATTTTTTTTTCCTAGAAAGCTTTATGTTGGTCTAGCACATATTTATAATCCTTCTTAACCTCATTTCCACTACTGATGCAAAGCAAGGATTCATTTTTAATAAGTGCAGAAGTGTGAATGCTTACTGTAGTATGCGTTAGTCTACAAAACTGCTACCTGATAACGCTCCAGATTTCTTCACAAGCTATTCAAATCCTGTGTACAATGCTGTCTGCTAGGCAGATACCTACTCTTCCTGGTTAATTCAAAGTTCAATCTAGGCGTTCAGTAGTTTCGCTTAATTATCTACAGCCTACTGAGACCTGGGTACAGTTGGCTGTAATGAGAATGGTAGTGACTGGCATACAGTAGTAGTCGTATCGTTGCTCTCTTTAGTGAACTATTTTGTGAAAAATAGACCATGAACAAGAGGTTGGTTTGCCAGTTTTCAAAAAGTGAGATTTGAGTCTTGAAATACACAGTCAGAAATTCAAAATTTCTGAATGAGGGATGAATCGGCCAGTTGATCCTAGTATCCATTTCCTACAGAAGATAGACATAGGAGTCTCTGTAGCTATAGGTCACTGCGAGTGTGCTAGCAAGCAGGATCACAGATAACTTCCAGGCAGACATTAGTTCACATCCTCATTGCTGTTACGACACCTGGTGAAAGAGGGTGCTGCTGGCAGGGAGAGCAAACATCTCATCTAAACTGCTTGGGTTTTTCCTTAGTCTCTCAATTAATTTAGAATGCCCACCGCAATTTAAGTATGTAAAAAGTTAGAGTGGGGTCCTGCATGTTATAAGAGTAGTCCAGCATGAGATTTAAGAGAACTCTGAACTCTTGGAATAGGTTACATACCCTGGAAATGTGACTCTCGTCTGTGGACTCCGAAATACACCAAATCATACCTCTTAATCATCTTCTCAGTTTCTATAGGACACTGTGACATCACAATCCATTCATCTTATTTTGCATGTTATAATTTGCTTGGTGCTGCTTTACAAGGGCTCCTGAATACCCCAGTCAAGTGTGGTTTAGCAAACGAAGTTTTCCTTCCTTTTATAGTATTCTGTGTTTCTGCATGGATGATCCTCACTAACAACAGGAAGAAAATTGACTTGTGATGTCAAACACTTTTTGACAACATAAAGCTTCTTTTAAGTGAACAAAACAATCATTTCCATGTCAGATCTTGGACGAGCACAATTTACTACACCAGAATTTTTTAAGAGCTATGTAAGGTATGACTGTGTTTTAAGTGACTGCATTACTCACAAGGCGATTTTGTTTAACAGCAGGATTACACATTGAAGTAAAAGTCATAGTTAATTTTCTAGTTTGTACTTTGGAAATATCATGTGAAATCTCAAACAACTGTAGCAGTGCTTTATTTTGCTGGCAATTTCCAGCTGAGCTGAAGCATTAATGAAGAAAGCCCTGATCCTTCAGAGGTTTACTGGACACACTAAATTCAAGAGAAGTACTCAGAGTACGCAGACACAGGCAGTTGTGTCGCTCCCCGTGGAGGAGAGGCTTTAGTTTGTAGTCCCCGTGAAATGGTCCCTTTTTCAGGACATGGAAAGGTTAGCACATGAAAAGTCTGTGACTTACCTACACTTACAGGGCTGTCAGGGCTATTGGGAAAAATGACCTGTTCCACAGTGGAGCTTGCTGGACAAGCAATTCTCAAGTCAGAGTTTATGAAGATAAAATCATTAGCCTTGGGGTTATGACACAAGCAGCTTCATTAGGCAATCAGATTTTGCCCCAGAGATTTGAAATGATACTAAAATACCAAGTTACTGATAAACACCTTCTGTTAATAATGTAAGCTTGCATATAGGAAATTATTGTTATGTCTTTTTCTGCTAGTTCATGATGTAGTAACATAACAAGAGTCCAGCTTTTAGAGCTGAAGAACATCAACTTAAAAGCAAAGGTACACTTTAAGATCAAGTATTTTACCCCTGGAAAATATTTAACCTTACCTGGCAACCAGATAGAAGCTCTATCACTTAAGTTCTCTAAACAAACCATGTATTTTCTTAAAAGATGGGCTATAAGGAAGATTTTGGGGGCATTGCATAGGGGTCCTGCGATAGGCTTCTTGCTCTGCAGGAAATACGACTGCATAATAACAGTCTTCTCTCCTAAAAAATAATAAAAATTAAGTTTTTGAAGCATGCTATACTTTGGGAGAGGTGAAAGCAACTGTATAAATAGAATTGTCAAATGCACAAATGGATTTTTTTTTTTTGTCATGTTCAATTTGAGCAGTTTTAAGCATGTTACCAGCAGCAGCAATTCACGTTCAACAGACCAGCAATTCTTCCTTTCACACTCTGTACTTCCAGAGGGTTGTTATGAAACCACCACCTAGGAAGATAACGATACACTTGATGCTATCTCCGTCGACTGCTGCAGCTCCTCCGGCCGTTGCGGAGCAGGTGGCAGCGCACGTGCTGTTGGTGATACGCAGCAGTCAGTTTGAACAGAAGCGGGGCGTGGGGTTACCTCCAACTACCCCCGTGGTTGCCGTGTGGACCCCAGCACAGCCAGGCACCTATTGCACGGGGTGCACGAGGACTCTCTGCCTGCAGGGGGGTGGCGGACAATGAGAGAAGTGACCTGGAGTCAGAAATGAGGCGTCGGTGCAAAGGGCAGCTGCAGCGAAGTAGCTACTGGAAGAGGCAAGTGAAGGCCTGAAGATGGTGTAGTGTACTTGCTTCCTCCCCCAAAATACCAGTGTGCTTATTCAGAACCCAGTTAACAGTCTCAGCTAGTGCAAAACACATACATAAAGGTTTCAGTGATTGTTCTCCTTAATTATAACAAGAATGATTTAAAAATGCAGTTAGGCTACTAACTGCTGCTGAAGGAGCACCAGGGGGGTGTCTCTGACACACCAGGGAACAAGTCATTCTCCAAACAATGCTCGAGAAGTTAAGCAAATACATTCAGAAGGATTAAGAAGGATATTTAAGCTGCCTTTTTTTTTTTTTTCATTTAGTAGAATTACTGTCAAATTAAATTGCATGAAACGTTTTTCTAGTGTAGTGTAAAATGTAACATTAGCTGCAGGAAATGGCTGACAGTTTGGTTCTTGTATGACTGCAAGCATTTACATGGACAGATTGCTGCCCCCACATCAGGTCCGTTACATTTGCATGTTACCGTTCCAGTGAAGCACCCATCAGATTATTAACCTTTCAAAAGTATTTTCCCTCCCTCCCCGCTTTTGCGTGAAAGCTAAATTTTGCGCTAATAACAGAAACCACTGTTGAGAGTAATTTCTTATGCCAGCTCAGTCTAAATATCAAGGTCTTTGAGCATTAACTTGTGCCTTGAATGTGTTCTCTTACAGGGGTTCTCTCTCTGTAGAGCTGAATTCCATGATGTTGAGAGGAGTCACTCACAGCGCAAAAGATACATTTACTCTTCTGTTGGCAAGATCTCAGTACTGTTACCCAGGACTGAATTTTTCATCAGTGTGGAATGAAATAGCAAACAGAAGCTTCCTAACACATCATTCCACTTACACAACTGATACAAAATCAAGAGGGGAAAATAAAAAAACCATTGAGAGTCTCTACAGATTGTCAGTTGACATTAAGAAAATACGTAGACTAAAGGAGTGGGTCCTTCTCCAGGATGTGGCCTATGTTAAAGAAATTGCTGGTATCTTACAAGAAATGGGAGCAGATGAGACTGCTGTAGCCAACATTTTAGAACGCTGCCCAGAGGCAATTCTCCGTACCCCTGCAGAGGTAAACTCTCAGAGAGCTCTATGGCAATTAGTATGCCAGAATGAAAGCCAGTTGATTAAATTAATAGAGCAATTTCCAGAGTCTTTTTTTACTGCTGAATATCATGAGAACCAGAAGGCAAATATACTGTTTTTTCAAGAGCTGGGACTTAAGAATAATATAATCACCAGGTTCCTGACAAGCGCACCCAATATTTTCTATAATCCTGTTGAGAAGAACAAAAACCTGATAGAGGCATTACAAAGAAATTACTTAAGTTTAGGAGGTTCTCATGCAAATATGAAGATCTGGATACTGAAGCTATTGAGCCAAAATCCATTTATTTTCTTAAATACTTCCACTGCAATCCAGGAGAACTTGGAATTTCTCCAGAAGAATGATTTCACTAACCATGAAGTTCTACAGCTGCTGTCCAAACTTAAAGGCTTCGTTTTTCAACTTACTTCTACTACTATGCAGAAGAGTATGCTTTTTTCCAAAAATGTCTTTAAGTGCAGTGATCAAGAATTAAAACAGCTAGTGCTGAAATGCCCAGCCCTCCTCTACTACTCTGTTCCAGTTTTGGAAGAAAGAATTGAAGGACTACTGAAGGAAGGAATTTCTGTAGCCCAGATTAGAGAGACACCAACGGTGCTGGAGTTGACAACACAAATTGTTCAGTACCGAATTAAAAAACTCTCTGCTTTGGGGTACGATATAAAGAGTGGAACTCTAGAAAGCTTGAATGGTACTAAGAAAGATTTTGAAGTCAATTATGGTAAGATACAATCAAAGAAGGAGAGACCCATTTTTAATCCTGTTGCTCCTGTACACGTTGAAGATTAATTTGAATGCTGTACTTTAAATTATGCAAAAGAAAATTATCAAAGAGAAAAGAGATGTTGGCTCTTTGAGAAGAGCCGGAACAAAACTGATCTTAACCAGATTATAGTCTTATGCTGTACTTTATCCTGGAGTGGGTCTTAGGCACAACTTTATTATACAATCATCGCTTTCTAATGCTTTCAAATTGTATCATAGAACCTGATTATGATAAATGTTGCCTTTTTTTCCCAGGGAGTACCTTCAGGTTTTTTGATTCTGTCACGTTTTGTTATGTAACGGGGCATTAACTGCTTTGGATTTTCAGCTCTGTCACTGCACAATCCAGTGTGGCAGTAATTAGCACAATCTTTATCTGAGAAAGAGAAAGGGAGGGTTATTTTTTCAGCAGTGTTCATCAACCCACTGGTTCACTGACTTGTGGAGACTCTTTTGGAGTTCTACTCCTTACTGCTGCAGTAAAGTAGCTCTAGCTCCCAGATCCTGACCTGCAGCAGACATGACTTGGACAGGAAAGCCTAGCTAGGGTGCAGTCTGAAAACAGGGGCAGGACATAGTACTTTTTTATTTAGTGATTGCTACAGCGAGGCCCCAATACGTTTGTGCACAAATCATAATGCAAAGAAACTACATGACAACCTCCTTTACATTTCTGAGACTTCAAAATTTACTCCTTTTGCAAAAGGTTTGGGGCAGGAGGAAATGTATTTTGGAGAGACTCGAGTGAGTCTCAGATGATTGTAGGAGAAAGGAGAAAGTCACACTTTTATATTAGGTATAGTAACAAAACTATAGTCTGTAAACCACTGGTGATGAAAAATGACTACCAGATTTGCAAACAGCTGCCACAGTTTCTAAATATATGGGTGACACCGCTTCTCAGATATCACCGTATGGTAATTGTTGACATGTGCAGGCTTTCAAAATAGTAACTATCTGTCAGTGTTTAAATCCTTAGGGGATTTTATTTATTTTCATTTATGGGCTGTGAATGATAATATAGCATCATTGACAATCATCTCAATAGAACTAGGATAATCGGTGATTTCATTTCTCAGAAAGACTTTTCTAAGCAACTATTCCATACACATTCCCTCTTGACAGCAGGAAAAAAACACAGTTACACACCCCCCCTCACTCCAGGCCATTGTTCAAGGTCATTTTTAACAGACATTTTGGCAGCAAGTCCAGGTTTCCTTTTCTTAAAGAGAAGTTTTAAAATTGCTGAGGAAAGCTGGGATTGAATTACTTTGTTTAGAGGGTGGGCTGCAAGATGATGATTTTATATAGCCTGCCATGTTTTCCGCTGCGAACTCGGAAAGGGCCAGAAACCTCTGGTTAGAGCAGCGCCAGGATCTTGACAGCTGAAGGTCTTAAACTCACAGCCATGAAGGCGAGTGTGGACGTCACAGCAGCTTGTGAGGGTAAATGCTGCTCTTGTAAGAGCAGGTGACAGTGGCAAGAATTCAAGAAGGGGCACGTATCACCAGCACAGTAAGTCAGGGTGTCTTACTATGCCATTTCTTTGCCGACTCTTCAAAGACAGCCGTCTTAAAAATTCCTAGGAACTTGACTTTGTCACTTTGTGACTGTCCTTCAGGACTCAACTATTAAGCAGACCACGGTATTATTTGAACTCAAAAGCATCCTTCCCCCTCAGACACAAGGGGGCATTTCAGCTCTCTGAAGCTATTCATAAGACAATCTGAAATGCTGAACCACAGAACTGATCGGCCGTTTAGGACAAAAAGGAAACCCAGACGTAAACCCATGTTTTCCCCCAAAATTTAGTTTCAGCATTTCTACAGGTACCCTTTTTCAAAGTTCCTGAAACAGCTTGTTCGCATCGCTTACAGTATTTCCAGTGGCAATGGACAAAACAGGGAAGTGACATATTTCCTTAACTGAGTCACAGTTATCACAAACTCATTTTCCATTCTGAAGGTGTCAATTTATCCTCCTTCCCTCTCAAAACGAAAGCGTAAGCAGAAAGACTCCTTCTCTCTGACAGCAGACCAAAATTCATTCAATCCTTCATTCATAACCCTATGCTTGGGACCCATTCCTCTCTTTTTCCCAGGATTCATTCATAATAAAACCTCAGGGAAGCTCCCAGTTACCAACACATTGTATTGCTGAAATCCGCTTCCTCATCTCTTGCTGTCGCTCACAGTGAGCGCACGACCCGGTTTGTACCGTTCAAGTCTCACACATAAAAGCCTGCAGACCAGCCTGGCGGTACACAGCGAGCAGTCAGGCAGACAAGTAGTCTTCATAACCATTTCCCCTTTCGAAACGGGGGCTGAGAGAAGGAGAGCAAAATAAAAGCACCGCAAGAACAACCCCACTGCCCCTGAAATTTTCAGTTCCATATTCCATTTAGCTCACTACAAACTCAGAAGTGGGTATCCCCAAGCTTCAGTTCCCAGGGGGGAAAAAAAAAAAACAAAAACAACAAACAAACAAACAAAACGCAAAAAAAAACACTACAAGGGATTTTCTGTTGTGTCTATGCACAGCCTACACAGTGAAGTTAGTTTTGGTGCTATTTAGATGCGGATAAAAGACACTCTGGGGCATGATACTGTGGGAAGGTTTATACCTAAGTATGCCCTTCTCCACAAATTAAGTAAGGAAGCTTTCAAATGTCTGAAACAGCAACAATTTAATGTTTCACAAGTGTCAGGAGAGAATCAGAACAAGTTTTTAAGACGAAGCAAGTTTCATAAGGGAATGTAAAAATATGCAGGATATAGGACAAAGCTCTTTTCGAAAACTAAAACCATATGCCACGTGAAAGTGTTTCAGTTACAAGATTCAGAAGTAATAACTACTGGATATGTCAAGAACAAAACATAATGAAGTGTTGGCAGCTCTTTACAGATCTAACATTGCTTACCTCAGACCACACTTGTTTTGCAGCAAGTTTCATAGTAGAAAAATTAGAGACTGTAATAAAAAAAGGGGTATGACCAACGATTAGGAAGGGTTTGGTTGGGTGTTACAAATATCACTATGCTCCAAACGGGTGACTCTGAAGAGCTCAGTGGTAGCATTCTGCGGATATGTCTGCATTGGAAACTGCAGGGGAACAGACCGTGCCAAACCATTTGCTGTAGCTGGTTTGTCTCCAATATCCAAGCTAGCTCATTTCTAGAGCTAACTAGAATCCTTAAACTACACTACATTCTATTGCAATCAGCTTTCGATTATAAAAAAACAGTTCAAGTCTTCCATCTGTTGCATAAACTTACCTCATCACACCCTTGCAGCATACTGGAGCTAAGCAGCCGGTGCATCTAACAAAAGGAGCAGATAATGCCAATTTTGGGGTTTTTGTTCTTCCCACTGCCCCAAATCCCAGTGCTTACAAATACCATACTACCAACATATACAATTACTGATATCATATAAAGTTGTTCCAGAGTGCAGTTGAAATGCCAATGGCTCAGAAAGACTAGGTGACTACTGTACCATAATTTACACACAGTGTACTTTCAACACCCATGAATATAGGACTAAGCTTTAGAAGAGTGATACGTTCTGATTTTTTTTTCAATTTCTAAAAAGTCTCCCTATATATCCTTCTTGTACAACCACAGCCACTGAAAAAGTATGTTTATGTGCTTAGAAGTTCTCTGTGGAAACAAGAGTTTTTAGAAAATACTGCATACACAACATTCACAGCGTTCTTCTAGGGGCTTCCAAAGAGGTTACTTATTTGCAAAGTCAGTACACACACACACACACGAAAAAAAAAATAATCAGCAACAGCTATTTTAAGGCAACCTCAAGCTGTGTCATTACAAGTGCATTTTGCTTCACACACTGCAGAGGACCTACAGCTGTTCCCATCTGAGGTGTGTCAATGTTTGGAATTTGTCAGTATACAATTTACTTGGATGATGTTTCTCCCTTTTTTTTTTAAGGCCTCATCTACCCTTTTTGGTTTGTTTTAAATAAAACATCGCATTTTACTCAAAAATCAAAATGCAAAATATGAGAGAAAGATGTAGTGAAAAATTCCTTGCATTTGCTGAAACAGAGCAAGAAGCTAACCTGGCGCATCGTGAAGTTGGGACAACAGCTTTGCTAGTTTTTCAGTGGTTTCCAACTACACAAAGGAATTTCTTTGAAGTCAGACAGCTGTGATGACCACAAACATCAGCCCAGCTTCCATTAAGCCATCACTTTTTCTGGTGTCTATAAGAAGTTTATTAGAAGCAAGTTTTCACTTGCAGGAGATAGATGCATATCATTAAATACACCTGAGATGGAGCAAGCTTGTTTTCAGTAAAAACTGACAAGGTTTCAGATACCAGGATTCGTAAAGAGTCTAAAGCTCATTCTCATGAACTGCTCCAGAACGACAAGTTCTTTCCACAGCTTCACCTAGTTAAAGTTTGTTGACTTTTTTTTTTTTTTTTTTTTTTCTAATAAGGCATTAAGGTAGCATACTCTTTATGATCCCTTCTACCACGCTGTCAAACTTCCTCACTTCTATCTCCCACTCTCACAATTTCTGCACACCTCTGGTTCCATTTGCTCCTGTCTGTACTGGTAGAGCGCAGTCACCGGCCGTTTACCACCTGTCTGCAAATCCATTTTCATGACTGAAATTATTCAGGTACATCCAACAATACCATTACGCAGCTGAGGGATCCTTACCAGGAGAATGTGGAAACCACTGAGAACAGTAAATGGCATCTCGTCAAATTGATGGTACTGCAGAGACTACCAAGTTTATGTTCACATTTTAGTACAAAACTGCAAAACACTTACAGTAAATGAATATTCAAATATGTATTATCCCTTCAGATACAGGTACTCGCTTCTATAGTTATCAAGTGTAACATTTCACCAGATACAAAGCTTCAATCTAGGCTCTAATAAATCTTCATACGCCGGGCTAGCCAAGCTTCTTCTCTCCTTTGCAGATGAAATCGAGTCACTTGCACAACTCTCTAGAAGATAAAGTGTCTAAGACACATGGCTTCTCATGGTCCAAATCTCAGCAGATTTTAATGCCACTGATGTAGTATTCTGGAAAATCAAGTATGTCTCAGTTTTGCTTTTAGTCAGACTTATCCTTTTTCTTTCCTGTTAAAGGCACTTTACTTGCAACAGCAGATCCTACAGCTGTAACACCTCCAGCTACAGCAGAAACACTTCCTTTGACTAGCCCCACTCCCATTGAAGGCACAGATGTGACTGCTGTTTTAGTAATTTCCAAGCTCTTCCCTCCAATCCAAGCAACACCCCCAATCGTGGCACCAACCGCTCCCTTTGTGACACTGAAGAGGCCACCAGTCACACGAGAAAGCATGCCAGCTTGCTGCTGCGGGTGGTCTTTTAACGAACCTAAGGGAGGAAGCAACAAGCAAATCAATCACAGTGCAAAGCTTTTCAAAAGAAAATTTGTTCCGAAGTATTTCCTTTTCTAGCCTAGCGGCCACTGCACACCACGTACACTTACCTCGCAGGCTACTTTTCTTGAATGCTCATACACCGCCACAGTTCCAAACAAGAACACTTTGCTGCAGTGACACATACCTCTGTGCTGTTTTCTAAAACAGCTCAACACCGAGCCTACAAATATCAGGCACATAGCTCCCAGACAGCGTTACGTGATAAACTTCTGTCCTCTGCATGCACCACTACCTTCCCAGACTCTGCAAAGTCTCATGGTCAAATTAGCCTCATTCCTGGACTTTATTAATGGAGGGAATAACACACCCCTCCTGTTCCCCTCATCCTACTACTAAGAGTTAACCCACGGGGCGGGGGGGGGGGAGACCCCAAAAGCAACAGCACTATCTTGCTTTTCAAATCTCTAAGGAAAGACTAGAAAAAGTTTCCTGGAGAAGCAGAGCCAAAGATTTATTTTAAAAAGAGCTGTTCTCTGAAAAGACCTCACCTTGAGACAAAGTTGTTTCTTTCCTTACTAATTACTGTTTGGAAGATGGGCTTACAAGGGTTGTGTGCAGGTGTCAGGAAAGAGGCAAAAGGAGGTTACAATCGAGAGCAGGAGTCAAAAGGACTGTGAGAAGGACAAAACTGATGACAACTCTTCACTGTCTCACATCCTTTCTTCATGATGTACACAAATTTAATTTTCTTTCAAAAAATGCTTTTCTGTAATTTGGATCGTCCAAAGGCCAGATAAGTTAACTGACTACCAAAAGTGGTCCCCAAAGGCATTAACTATAGCAAGAGTTAAAGGCTCCCAACAGAAGTCCCAATATGATGCACAAAAACAAATCTCAAGCTATAGGATATCTTCATGTTATTGACCACGTAAATACATTTTTTTTTTCTTTTTAATATTATGTTTAACCTGCTTTTTGTGCAGTTTCTTGCTATACGCTGCCAAAGTAAATTCCTATTCTATACTCATGGTACAATTACATAGCCTGAAAATAATAGAGAGTGTTAAAGTAATAGACTCCCAGAATTAGCCACTGAGCCTTCCAATAGTTCGGTAATTGCTTTATATTTCTAAAAGTAGGCTTCAAAATCCTAAAGAGATACATGCACTTTGCCTCTAAAAGGAATTAAGACTGCAACGCCATGCCCTGCTACTGCATAAACATCACCTAATCTTCAGAGAACAGACAGGAAGATGAAGCAGTATGTTCAAGTTGTATTTAAGCACACAAGAAAATATCACCTACTGCACCTATAAACCAGTAGCCCTGACACATGTTTGCATGGTATTTTCAGTGTGACCCTTGAGAAGTCTCTGGTCTTCGCAACAACATTGTACAGGTAAGCGTATTTCAGCTCCTGCCTTATCAGGTTCTCACCAACCCCAAATACTTCTTAAAAAATGTTTTAGGGACACCGATGGCAAGAGACAGCCAATTAAACACAAGTACGGAAAGAGTTCTACAAATTTTTGTATTTTCTAGCTACCTGTAGATAACATGGGATTTTCCCTTTCTTAGAGAAAAACAACAGGAGGAACCAAGAGAAAAACAGCAAGAACACCCACAGTGGGCAGAGCTAGGGAAGAAACAAATACGAAATAAAAAGGTGAGGAAGCCAGCAGCACAAAGAACATGCTTAGAAGAGGATAAGGAGTCTGGAGAGGCAGGGGAAAAGAAAAATCAGATCTAGATCCAGAGACCTCTACCCAGCCCCTGCCAACGCATTCGCTCTGCACTGCGATGTGCCTTAGCAGGACCAGCTGAACAGGCCTCTCCCGCCAGTGCTCTGGCTGCTGACAACTCCCAGAGGAGTTTCCAAGAGTCACCTCCCAGCACTCATCTACTACAAGACAAAAAGCGAGGGTGAACAACTTCCCATGCACCTCCAATGAATCTGTAATAGTGCCAGGACTGACCCAGGACTCAGAATTAGTTTTAAAAGTGTCAAGTTAGATGTTCCTATGTGCATGCCTGGAATAATTCAAACAGAAGATGCCATCTAAATGACAGGATTTCTTACAAGTTTGACAAAAAGAAGAAAAAAACATACAGAGGAACAGTGCAGCTCAAGGGAGCAAAAAAAATACGAACAATGCTTCCAGCTCACACTAGTCTCTCATTTAAGAAATTGATATAGATAACAGAAAGGGTCATGGAAACTAGAAACACAAACGACAGCCTTTTACTTAAAGCCAATACCCTTGCTGGTTCATTCTAGGCCAGCAGCTTTCAACCCGAACATCTCCAGAAAAAATGCATTGCCAACACAACCACACAGAGATCAGAATTTCTAATTACATACAGAAAACCTTTAAAGAATCACACTTAAAGAGGAGTATGTACAGCCCACTATAAAATCCACTGCCTAGGTATTATTCATTAGAGGATTCTTGTCAGCAGACTTACACACCTTGTAAAAAATTTGGTCAGAAAGTGCTTCACTTCCACCTAACTGGATCACTACCGTCAGGGTGAGCGGGAGTAAAGTTCTGACAACATCTACTTTATTTCACAAGTGTAAATACTGACTACAACTTGGTGCACTAATAACTTCTGGCGGTGGTTGATACATTTCCATTTCATTCCTGTGTGCATCGTCCATGAGATCTAGTAAATGCTCGCAGCTGCAAAGAGTTTTTATTGCCGGTTGATTCCTGCTCTAGGATACGCATTACTGATCTCCTTGTTTCTAACCGGTATGAGAAAGAAGGTGAAACAGATCGTTCCTAAATCGAGGGAGAAAATGACCCAAGTTCCCTGCTCAGGGGTTGGCTCTACCATGCTACCTTGCAGCCAGCTTCCTGCTGAAAAAAAAGTCTAACAGCGAACAAGAGTTTGAATGAACATAGGTTGCAAAGGTTGGTGCCACTTGCAAAGCAGAAAAAGCATTAGAATAGCCCTACTCAGAAAGCATGAGCACAAAAGTTTCTTCTACATATGTATTTCTTTACAGCCTTTCGGCACCAAGCTTGTCAAGTGCTATTTGGACAAACTGCAACTATTTATATCTTTATGGAAAACTGCAAATTGGTTTTGGCGTTGAGCCTTTCCTCTAAGGATTTTTTTTTTTTTTTTGGCAGCCCGTTCAGAGAGCTGATCTTCTTGCCAACATTGATCTGGTAGCCTTCCATCCACACTTGTCCATCTTTCTATAATAGTGTAAGCATATCGCATACAAAGGCCTCATATGACATTTAAAACAAGGATGTTCTTCAAGGGTATTCCAACATTTTAACTAAAATCATAAGGCTTGAAGAGTGCATGTGAAACAGGATGATAAGGAAAAAGCCTCTTCAGGGATGGAGTTTCCATTAAGGTGAGCTGTGTTTCATTCTACTCCCTCTAGCTACACTAACTTTCTCCATCTATTTAGACTTCATATTCAAAGTGGTTATTGTCATACTGAAAAAAGATACTGTGCAGAAGAAAATTAGTCTTAATTGCTTGCAAATTTTAAATAAAACCTTGCAATACCTAGTGATGATCAGACTCTGCTGTTATACTCTGAATCTGGACAACCTACTGAATATTCTAGGAAGATAAAAAAAATGCCCACTTGTTTCACTGCCTTCCTCAAGAAAGAATGGGTTGTAGTTTACCAGCCAGACCACTGTTCATTCTCTACATGTGAGGTTTAACATGTATAAAATAAAATTCAATCTCTAAGGAAAAAAAAAAAAAACAAATAAAAAACACTCCCCAAAACACACCCTTAAAAATCAGACTCAAAGATAATGCTCATTAGGACATAGTTTCCAACCTGGCATTTGCCTTCAGAAATGCTTCTGGGATCTTGACAACCTTGTAAGAGCTTACAAAGAAAGATTTTGGTCCTCACACCATGATACTGTAACAAGTTCAAGTATAGTAGAGCTTAATAACCACTGTGCCACGAAAAATCTATTTCTCCCTTTCCTCTCATCTTCTTGTACTTGTGATTCCTGCCTCACAGTTGTTAGGAAGAGAGTGAGCTATTCCACTTCAATCCATTCTGCTACAGTTAGTGGAAAATACTGTTGTTCAAGTGAACTGTTCAGTTATACAACATCCAAAAGTTAAAGAAAAAACCCAAACCAACCAACCAACCGAGCTTTAAAGGGCTATCGAAAGTTGAAGAGCAATGAACCAAGAGGAACTGGCACTCACTGAACTCTGCATCCAACACATTTGGTCTTAAAGCAAGAGAAGACAGAACACAGACAACCTGTGTGCCAAGAATGGTTTTTGATCTAGTATGCTTCCAGTCACATCACACAAACAGGACTCTTCACAGTCCTGCCATCCTACAGCCCGGAAGGGAATTCTGCTCATTTGCAACTGCATCCCCTCTACAGAGCTAATAACCAATTTAAGATTCATTTGCTTCAGGAGACCAAGATGCCACTGCATTAATGAAGTCAAGTGTTTGTTTGGTTTTAGGAAAACATGAGATTAAGTCGTTAGAATCACAGTTAATTGCATGATGAAAAAGGGTCTTCAAAAGTAATAAAGTTCCATATATCTTTAAAGACATCTCGTTTAAAAATCACAAGCACTATGAAGTCAGCAAGGTCTCCAAAAGTGAAGCTGGGCTCTTTCCATCTCACACAACGAACAGCAGAAATAAATACCTATTGGATCAATTCACATTTCTGGAAACTAATCTGCAAATTATGTCCTTCAGTATCTTCCCATCTTCTTTATAATTTATCAGTACAGTTGCTCACTGAGCTATATTCAGTGGCCTTACTATAATCGGGATAATGCAGAAGTGAACAATAATCCAGGCCCATCCCATCCCAGGGTTGGCTTGCTTACTGTTACTTCAATGAAAGTTCAAGTGTTCAGCTTGTAGATCCATTTTTTTAAGAGAGATCTGAACTTCCAATGAAACTCTGAATTTACTTGACATTATGAAAACTAATACGTACCTTCTGGTGGATCATCATGAAGGTACGATGGGACTTCCTGTTGATTTTTGTCTGTTTGATTCATTATTGCCTAAAAAAGAAATTCACATATGCTGTAGATTTTGTCTGGCAAAGCATAAATGTTTAAATGTTAAGCATAAAAGCGTAAATAAATCCATGAAGCCAAAGCTCATGTAGTTCAAGTTCTACAGAAAAGGAAGTTCTTCATTATTAGATATGCTAACAGGTCCTGCCAAACTGCTATTTCATTATCAGACCGTGCTTTTGTACTCTTCAGCCAGACTTAATACTTGAAAAAGGAGCCTTCCAACAGGTCAGCAGGCTTGGTGAGAACTGCCACCCCACACCAAGTGCCTCTCAAACCTAAAAAGCAATCGTGAAGAACAGTATGAAAAACAAAACAGCCACTGTCATACAATAGTTTACATTTATGTACTAAAAAAAGCAAAGCCCAGTGATCATAGAGGTGGTGGGCACTAGAACAACAACAGCAACGTGCCTATAAGACCTGTTAGCACCTGGAAAGCAGTACTTTAAAGAAATAAGTCCTTGCAGCAGAATTTTAATAAATGCTATGAAAACAAGACAGAAGAAACGCAGTGAAAACACTCCATTTATCTTGTAGCAGTACTGCATACACAGTGTGGTGATAGCAGCAGAACTGGACTTTTTTAGCTCTACAGAAACTTTCCAATGAAAACATTTCAGAAAGAACATTTCTTTATATCAAAAGCCGTTTCCTTGAGCAGTTCTAGAGCAGCAGTCCCTGACAGTGAAGAGAAGCACAGGAGAAAGCTCAAATCAGCAGCTCTGCTTACTGAATTTTCCCTTTGGAGGAAAATCAGTATCTAGCCCAGCGTTCCCTCCTGCTTTCCTCCCCCACCAAAATGTGCCTTGGTGTTAAATCCTGCCTCCTTCCAGTCCTGTTTTCCCTCCTCAGCAGGCACTGATGTCAGGAAAATGAGAAAGAAAAACAAGTTGCATTATACCACTCAGCATACTTCTATCTTCCTGCCAGTGACCTCTTAGTTCCCTTCTCCCTGCACACATACACGAGCCTTTAAATCATTTAATTTCTTCCAGGAGCCACTGACCACCACAAAAATAATTCCAGCCTGTCTTGCCATGCCCAGATCTCTCTGTACCTCCTCTGGGTGAGAAAGCAGTGGCTGGGATCTGAAGAAGGAATGAGGAGGCAGAAGCAGAACTTGAAGATGGGAAGACTTACCTGGAAAACAACAGCTAAAACCCTCGCAGTATAATTATGAAGTCAAAATATCACAGTAAAAACCAGCACCCACACACTAAATGATAGATCTTTGGATGCGAAGCAAGCATAAATTGAATATTAAAGAGTCCTCACAATCAGCACTAAGGGTATCAGTTCACGACACAAGAAACACAGGTACCTTTACACAAGAAGCTGAACAGGGAAGCAAGCAAAAAAAACCTACTACGTGGATAGCTGATTTGATGGCAGTGCTGAACAAATACCTCTCAAAAGCCAGAAATGCAAATGTGGAAGCTAAGAAATAGGAAAGTGAATAGCAGCACATCATAACTAAATGCATGAGGGCCAAGAGGCAATTTGAAAAAGTATCAATTAGAGAATTCCTTGTTATTTTATTTAATTACAGGTTAGTAAATCAAGGGAGAAAAAAAAAAAAAAAAAAAAGAAAAAGCCCAACCAATCGCAGGGAGCAACCAAGGGCAATCAGGTTCTGAGAAAGGACCAGACTCAGGTACTACATGACTTATGACTTTGCATTCATCTAATACAAGCTGGAAGAAATACAAGGATTTCATCCTCACTATGTGAAGTTACATGTAGGTGGTTGTTTTTTTTTTTTTCCAACTTGAAACAAAAATATCAAGCAGTATAAGAAAGAGAAGGCAGGTGATGTCAGAAACTCACAGGACTGACATCACTGACCAAAACATCCCTACAAACATGAAGCAACTATGTTTCTACCCGACATGCGGGCATTTTGTTCATTAGGACGATTATCAGAAATTTGCAAAGAGTTTATTTGCTGCATTAGGGAAGGTCCTAAAAAAAGTAAAACAGAAGTCACAACCTAGTAAGTCTTACTCCAAACAAAGGAACAAAAAAGTGATCAAAACAGCTTTAAAGCAAACTCAAGGGAGACAAACAGGTTAAGCCAGTGATAATTTTTATAAAGAACTAGCTCCACTGAGATACTTGTATCTAACTGGCACATAACTCTCAACAGAAACCCAGGTGAAATTGCTTGTCTGAGCTCCTGAAAAGTTTCTGTCAACAATTCCTCGTAAGAGGCTCAGGAAATTTATTTAATCTTATGAGGAAGGACAAACTACTGTCAGGGATTGTCAACGAGTTTAGAGGGAAGTTGGAATAAGTTCCCAGTTTTGAACATGGCAGAACACTAAAAGCACCACAAGGCTCCACACAAGTTTTAGTATTTTCTGCTATTAAGGTGGTATTGAACACAGCAGCACTGACAGCAGATACAGCCCCAGTGAAGTACGAAGGATCTGTTGCACTAGGCATCATACACGTATTTAATTAAGGTCAGACCTGTGTAAAGAGTTAGACTGGCAAACAGTGCAGCTAAAAGATGCTTTCATAAGTGTCTGTAATCTAGTTTAGGCCACTGTCAGATTTGGTTACAGTTCCTGCAGAGCTAAGTGAGCAAAGCAGCAGGGAGTTTCATAGCAGAGTTTCTAGTTTAGTGATAAAGTATTAAAAAAAAAAAAAAAAACCAACATAAAAAAAAAAAATCACAGCACTATATAAAAAAAAAAAAAAACCAACGCTAAGATTAGGCATTTCCTCCCCTGCTACCTTCCCTAGAACCTCAAGGTTATGTAAGTCTTGACTCCAAGCTACTTTTTAAAAACATAGACAGGAATATGACACAATATATCACTCACATGCAATGATATAACACAATTGCAACTCCTCCTAGACCACAGAAATACTCCACACTCTTACCACCACATGGACCACAGCAGTCTGTCTTCTACAGCTCGGGCACGGGTAACCTGCTGCTATCAGACCCCAGGAGTCAGTGGAGTACTAAGTGGGCCTGAGAAGAGCTGCTAAGGGAAATGAAGTCACTGCTGGTAGGACTGAGTCTGTTCTACACAGAAGGGAGCCTTCAGGGGTCTGCAGGTCAGAAGGCTGTAAACTGCTGTATCGTGTGTGGTTCTACAGGAGTGTCGAAGCACTCCAGGGATGCTGCAAGAGATGTGCCTAACCAGCATGTCCTAGGCTTCACTCACTGTTCTCCTACTACATCAATGCAGGTGAAAACAGAAATCCCATCCCTGTCAGAAAAGGCTCACAACTTCACCCGAAACAGAACCTGGTACACAAGAGCTCACAAAGTGCAATTCAAGTCCTTTTGTTTTTCTGTAGCACCTTTCCAGTGAATCACAGAACTGAGACCAAGACCAACAAAGGACTTAAGCAGCAAAATCTTAAGATATCTAGGTTACAGCCTGCATCATCCATCCTTGTAGCCAATTTGACACATCGGGAGACTTAAGAGCCTCTGAAAAGTGATCCAGAATCCTGCGTGCTAAACAGGGTGTAGTATTTTCTGCTCACAAGTTATGCTATGCACAGGAGTGCGCCTTAAACCGGGCTCCCCTCCAGAGATTTAAGGTGAGTATTTCTATTGACTGGAGCTCAAAGGCCTGGAATAACTGCTTGGTGGCAGATAACTTCGCCCAGTTTTGAGACAAAGAAGGCAGGAATGTAATTTTTTGCTTCAAAAAATGGAATTAGAAGAGCAGAAGCCACCCACTATCTTCTACATAATATCATCAAGGTGAGAGAACTCACAGTTCAACGTCTCCTTCGCCAAATAAGAGCCAAGCTCGTATGTCCCACGTTGCAGGACTCCCCTGGTCACCAGACTGTAGTGTATCTTAAGGGAGGTTCCTCTTCACTCTCCCTGCTGAAGGTGAGTCCCCGCAAAGAAGAAGAAAGCAAAATTAATGAGACCCAATAAGAGATTACAACTCAGCTAACGCTTAAGGCACTGATCTGGAAGTGCAAGGATAAGACTTTTGTGTGGAGAATTAGGTCATTCAGACATGGTATTAAGGAAATTTAGAAACTTAAGATGGAAACTGCAGATTCAAAGTCCTCTATGCACTTAATCATTAGTCACAAATATTACCCGTATTGCCAGCACATGCAACAAGGCAAAGACTTATCAGAAACCTGGACTTTGGAACTTTTCTGATATGTTTTTCGGAATCTTCTTCAAAGTATGCTAAAACTGGGGGGGGAAAAAAAAAAAAAAAAAAAAAAAGGGAAAAAGCAAGCAAGCCAGTAGTTCTTTCTTTGCCATTTTCATCCTGTGATGCCAAATTCAGTGTCTTGTGTCACTGTGGCAAAGCCTCCAGCTTCATTTAACACCTGCATTAAATGATCACGCAGAATGAGGTAGGATCTCCGTAAGTCCTGGCAGAATTCATATGGACATTAATGAAGTAGACATCTCGCGTATCAGTGGCACTCTCCACCCTTCTTTTTCATCTGTGCAGATGAATACATAAGCTTTGCGTTTTCTTATGTTGAAAAGTGGAAGCAAATGCAGATCTTGAAAGATATTTCAAACAAGGACACATGTAAACTACTTTCTGTTGTTTTTCCCTGTATGCTTATGAGGGTGCTAGTCATTCAAGAAATAACAGATAACTTCTCATCTTTTTTAGCAACATATTAAAATACATATCAACCTTCATACTAAAAAAAAATTATATAAAAAAACCTAAGTCACTCTTTCAATTGGTTTTAAAGAAGAAAACACTTCTGTATTGTCAGAATATGAAATACATCGGAAGCTTCAAAGTTTTACACAGCTGTAAAGAAGAGATGGTTTAGAAGAAAACTTTTAATTCAAGTGCTACTTATAACATTAACACTGTTATAGGACTCGGACTGAAAGCGCTAGGAAGCTCTAGAGGTAACAGCAGAGCCACACATTCATTCACACCAAAGCGGATTCAAATAAAATGTTCTCACCGAATGTATTCCTTTGTGAAGATTTCTAGTTAGTTGTTTCCACAAAAGTTTTCTGCATACACCTACAAGAAATGTAGAAGGTTAATGACATCTTACTGAGCAGTGCTACTGTCACATACCTGCCATGGGCATATTGTGGGAATCATAAATACAAAGCCTCATATCTGGGGAGAAGCACACCCGGCAAGGCCTTAAAATGCCAAAATTTTATGAGATTTATCTTACTAAACCAGAAATTCCTTCTGTGTGCTTGGGCAATGGAGATAATTTTGCTTGCTCCGCATGCTTTCATGAGGGTTACTACAAAGCATAGTAACCAATGTTAAGACCCCACCTCTCCTTAACAAGTCTGCAGTCTCTGAACAGCAACTTGTGTAAAATTTCAGCCTTCCATTGAGAAATGGGCTTTAACCATTACAGACGTGTGCAACTTCCTGAGCTTCAGATGATGCTCTTGATGTCTTTCTGACTTTACAAACAAAAAGCCCTAGTGTTTCAGCACAGCAAACCTGGCCCAAGCAGCAGCCAGGAAAAACTGTCTTGTTTCAATGCCACTACTCACATATTTGCAGGCAGCACCGAAACTACCCAAGGATGGGGCCAATTTCAGTTGGCAGCATAACGCTGCTCCAGAAGGCTGCAGCAGCAGACAGTGCTGGAACTATTCACCTGACAAAACTGCAAACTAACTGATCGCCTCATCTTAGTCCACCACAAAAAAAATTATCTTCCTTCTCCTCACCAGCTATGCAGTTAGAAAGCTTGGCTACAGAGCTTCTGGAAAACAAAACAATCCTTGCCACACGCACAGCTCTTCCTCCTTCCTTCAGCAGCTGCAGCAGATTTCAAAATTAATATGATGCCTTTCACGTGTATGAAAGCCAATTATTTTTAGGGATGATACCTTAAGAAATGCCGTTTGCAAAGAGTAACAGTGCTCTACTCTACAAATTAAACAAGAAAATAAGCATGAAGCCAAAAAGGTAATTCCACCCATGGCTGCTCTTCAGGGTAGTGCTTCAAAGAGCGCAAGTGACCCCTGACTACCAGGTTCCTGCTTCATGCCCTCGATTAGGGCTTGTAACATGTTACAAATAAGAGTGCTCAGTGCTGTTAGTTCTCTCAGACATAACCCTCAGAGCACAGCTGATCTGGAAACGTGGTTTTCAGTTAGTTAATGCAAGGCAGACAGTTGACTGAGCTTCTGCAAGAAGAAAGAGTCAATGCTAACAGTGCTAAAGTAAAAAAACAAATCCAGGCATGTAGAAAGTGTGTAGCTAAAAACCAAGAGCATAACTGACATTTCAACAAGCCTTCTGTTTAAAAGCCAAGTTTCAAAATTAAGATTTATATACAGAGCAAGACTGGCTTGGAAGTGAGCATGCCCATTTCAGGGGAAAAAAAGATAGACTTCTCAGGGAAAGACTACAAAAAGTTGATCAGAAGTTTCCAGGTGTGAGCTACAGCTTATTTTTAAACCTACAGCAGGATGGGCTACAACCCCCCTCAAAAGATACTAAGTCTGTCATAAGAAGTGTAAACAATAGGCTCACAGCATGCAGGGTTCAGCACACAGCTGGGAAGGTAATGCAACATATCTGCATTAAAAAAACAAACACACACGCCACAATTAAAGGCACAAAAGGAAGCTTATCTCCTGCAAAAAAAACCCAACCCTTAACTCTGCCCAGGATATTACAGCATGATATCTGCCTATAGGAGAACCCAGTATTTCTTCATCACCCTCAACTGAGGTATAGATCAGCTCGAGAAGATGCTCCAGGGCTCTAGATATGGGCAGTCAAGTTTTCTCCGAAGCAAGGATTCGCAAGATACCAAATCAAAGGCTGTAGGAACCTGAATTCCCCTTTTCTAGTCCTCCAAAAGTGGCTTCTAGAAATTAAATGGCAAATTCCAGTAAGGCACAGGGCGGAGCTTCAGAAGGGTCATGGAAGCTCCATTTTACCAGTTCTGTCATCCTCTGCTTCCTGCTAGCTCAGCTTTCTAAAGCAGAGCCTTCACCATTTCTTCTAATGCTGTCCCAGTGCCTGAGCTCCCCACCTGCCTCAGCTCTCCTTTTCCAGGAGACCAACATAGACAAAACCTGACAGTGCTGTTAAGCCAGAGTGATAAAGCTGCTGCTGAACTTCCTTGCCACCCCCGTTAATGAAACAATGCACTTTTTCCCTAGCATTCACCACCCGTTTGTTGGCTCCTGCCTGACATTTAGACCTGTTCGCTTGTTGGACAAGGACCACCTTTCGCTTTGCACTTTTGTGACACAGTCCATTTCTATACTGAGGAGACAACATAACTTCACCGAATGTTTAATCACAGCTTAACAGAAAACTTCTTTTTAAAAAAAGCCTGGAGAGTATTTACTAAGCAGTCTTAAAATCAATGTACGTACAAACCAGTATTTGTGTACTATTTGTGTACTGTTTTATGTACCCTTCCAATTATACAGAGACACGCTCTCGAAGCAGTGCTGTGGACACACTGAAGCTGACTACGTGCACTTGGTATTTATCTTCCTTACGGAGCGACATCCTGATTCAGAGTTCTCATTTTCAGCCTGGTTAAAGGAGCAGAAGAAAACATTTAATCGCATCCGCAGAGGCTGTCTATGAGCTTCGTGCAATGACCAGAACCAGCTGCAGGGCTAAAATAACTTAAGAGTTATTTTCAGGCCACACCACATAAACGCCTAGTTAGGCGAACGTGAAAAGCTAAACTGGTCCCGAACAGTTTACAAGAAAACCGCTTAAGATTCTACTCCACCAAGCCTGACTTGAGATAAACGGATGAAATAAAGAGCAGGTTACCACAGGAAGCATCCGAACACCGAGTTTGAAGAAGAAGGAAAGAAAACCCGAAGCAGGGCTTCTCCTGGCACGGAGAAGTTCACAGGGGAGAACAAGACCAGGCGGGAGCGAGGCCGCGGCGAGCGCGGCTCCCCCCGCCGCCCGCCCAGGCGGCGCCCGGCAGCGGCAGGAGGCGGCAGCCGCCCCCCCGCGCCCGGTCCCGCACCCGGGGAGACGCCGACTCCGGCCCGTCGAGGCCCCCACCCCCCCGACCCGTCCCCTCCCCGCGGGGCGGCCTAAACCCCCGCGGCCCCCGCCGCATCCTCCCCTCGCAGCTACCTGCCTCCCCGGCGGTGCTCGGGAGGCGGCCCGGCAGCGACACCCACACACACACACACACCCGCCAGCACCGCCGGGCTCGTCGGCGCAGGGCGGCGGCCCTGACGTGGCAGCCAAGGCCGCGCCGGAGTCGCTACGGCCGGCCCGGCCCTCCCTCCTTCCCTCCCTCACGCCCCCCCCGGTGCCGCGGCAGGAAGCACAAAGACGGCCGCGCCGCACCCGCCCCGGGCCGCCGGCGCGGCGGGGGCAGGCGGCGGCGGCGGCTCCGCTTCCCCGGGCCCGCCCGGTCCCCCTCCCGCCTCCTCCCCCAGAAGTTTCCCTTCCTCCGCGGGGAGGAAAAGAGCGAAGGCAGGAAGGGCGCTCGGGCGGCCGCCCGCCCGCCCCCCCCCCCCCCGGCTAACGGCGGGGCCGGGGCGGTCGCTCAGCCCTCACTCACCGCCCGGCGGACACGGCTCAGCTGGGCTCGGCTCCGCCGCAGACTTTACTCCTGCGCCTTACCCCGTTGCCGACGTGGCGCCCGCCGCCGCCCGCCCCGTCGGCGCCCGCAGACCCCGCCCCAGCGCCCGGCGCGGCGCGGCCCCCTCAGCGGCCGGGGGGCGCGCAGGCGCCGCCGCTCCCGCCGCCTCCCCGCCCCGGGGCTGCCGGGGGCCCCCCGCCGCCTTCCCCCCCCCCCGCTCTCCGCCTCCTCCGCCGGCACCACGCGTTCCTGCCGGCCGCTCTCGGAGGCGCCCGGCCGCCCCTCAAGGCCAAGGCAGGCCCCGGCCCGACCCTCATGGCCCCCACGGGCACCTTCCTCCCCTGGGAAGCGGGGCAGGCCCAGACACACGGGGCCCGTGGGCGTCCTGCGCTGAGCGGGGCCTCCGTGGCCGTGGAGCCGGGGCACCGAGGTGAAGGAAGGTGCCAGGTGGTGGTCGGGTGGAGGAGAGGAGGAAAGGGAGGACAGGGTTGCCGTCGCTGACCGGGACGCCGCAAGCCAAAACTCCTGCGCCCCACAGCACTCCGTTGGGCTGAGGATCACCTCGGCCGAGGGGTTGGGGGGTGGGGGGGAATAGGTGTGCCCGTGGGGCATCTTGGCTGTGGGATCGGCTGAAAGGGGAGGCTGTGGAAGGTTCCCGGCATCAAGGAGCAGCACCATGCGGCGAGGAGCGGTGCCAGCAGCGTGGTGCGAAGCCACTACGCTGAGGCAGAGGATCTGGGTTTACGTTAGGCCATGTTTATATCGCACCCTTTATCCCAGCTGTTACCTGAGTGAGCGGAGCTACTCACTTGCAAGCTGTAGGGAATAAAGTTGTAGTCATGATGGTTTAAGGGCATGGCTTTCTAGGTAACCACACCAACAAGGGTAGTTGGGGAAAGACAGGTTTTTCAGGTGCTCACCCCCTTCTTTGGGACCTCCTCACATGCATCTCTAAGGATCTTTGGGGATGAACTGTGAGTTTCAAGTTTGTTGGGCAATGAAGTGTTGGATGGCCAAGGGAGAGAGGGAGGTCCCAGGTACTTCAAATGTGAGTTTAGAAACAGAACTGTCAGCAGCGCAGGAATACTAAATGCCCCATGAAATGCTTCACAAGATTGAAAAATTTGCATAGGCAAAATACCACCCCTGCTTCCTCCACCCAGCTTCGTGCTTGACAGCCACTTTTCTGCTCCACCCTCTTGTCTACAAAGAGACATGCATGGAGGATGATCTTTCCTGGACTCCTCCAAAATCGTTACTCCCTGTCTGAAGTGTGAACTCATGGAAAACAGAAAGGAGCACCCTGTTTCTGCAGAGGTCTGTCTAAAGAGGCTTTTTCCAGGCTCTCTATCTGCCCCAGCTTCAGCAGTTTACCTCTGGATTAGCACTGAGGGCTGTAACGCAGGTGTGAGGTGGTGGTGAAAGAGATCTGGCCCCCTCAAAGCGTGCAGATCTAGTCAGGGGTCACTGGACAGTTGCAGGAGCATCGATGTGGCCTGTCAGAGCGACACTGTATGGGCCTCGGAAGGGTTTGCTGATAACAGGGACTCAGCATTCCTGACCCGTCAAAGAAATACCAGCCATATTCTTTAGTTTGGCACTGAACGGGTAGAAGCATGAATGCAGGAGAATCCTAGTGAAAAAACAAGGGCAGCGTCTGGCTGGGAGCACGCTTTGGGATCTTTCAGGACACAGGGTGCAGGAATTACTCATGTTCTTTGGAAATACTACACAGGCACACAGGAGTACTACTCGGGGATCTTGATTTCCACCTGGGAGGACAGGTCGGTGACTCCCAGAACTTGTACGGTATTTGCTTCCCTGATAGTACTGCCACCGTTACCATCTCTGGTGGTGGAGATAAGGGGATTTCCCTGTGGCTGCTGTTCATCCCTTGCCCTAAGGCTCAGGCATACACAGCCTTTGCTTTACATGCCATGCTCTGCTTCAAGTGCAAGGCCTGTAGCTTCACACTTCTGGTGGCAGCAGAGAGAGTTGCTGCTTGAATATTTTCCCAGTAATAGAGTTAATCAATCACCCATAAACTTCACAGCATGAAGCACTGAAAAATATTTTGCCTCCTAGTAACTGAAAATGAAAGGCATTGCAGAGATTAAAATCTCTTATTTTTCAAACTCTGAAAGATTTAGGATGGCAGAGAAGGACTTGGGTTGGTGTTTTGCCGAGCAAACGGAAAGGGCCAACTTCCTCGTAAAACCACAGCCACTGGTGGTGGAGTCTCACCAGCAGGTGTAATAACTGAAATAACTTCAGGCTGACATCTCTGCAAACAACAGAAAACAAATGAGCAGCATCCCTGTTACTTTGCTAAAGCAGTGTTGAAGCTGAGGAAAAGGTTTTGGTTGCAGGGATGTCATTGTGACTATTTTTGCTCTCATTTAACTTTTCATGCATTGAATGTTTCCTTCATAAGTAGTCTTAAAGGTGGTCCACCATTGGTATTTCACTAAAGACTTCCTTAGCATTATTTAGTCTGTATGATAAATAAATAACCTTCTTTCACTGGAAATAGCAAATAAGCAGCTTCTTAACAATTTTAAAATGGAAAAGCTACAACATTCGGTCTTCCTCCATGGAGGAGTGGTTCCTTAATTTAAGATTATAGGTTTTTAGATTTTGTTTGTGAATGCACTGTGATTACAGGTGCAGAAAATAACTGAAGCAAGGTCAAAATACATACATTTTGTATTCCATTATGATGGTTGTGGTTACTTCTACTGCTGCGGTAGCTGTGAGGAACTGCAGCCAGGGTTGGAATTTCACTGTATTGGATTCAGCGTAAACCTAGGAAACAGCCCTGAAACGAATCCTTCTCTTTCAGTGCAGAACTTAATTTAAAATGTGACCCGTGTCTCCCGAACTCCTAGGCCTCACTGTTTCATTTTTCCTGTTGTATGTAGCCACTGTGAAAAGTCAATGCTGTGGGGAGATCATCAGGCTCTTAAGTCTGGTGAAGCCTATACGTGTGTGGACAGCAAATCCCAGGTGGGCTGTTTGCTCAACAGGAGGCCTGAACGAGGAGTGCAGTGAGAAAGCATGTAAAAAAACTGCACGTGCTGTTTAATTTGGTTAATTTCTAGAAATAATGGAGGGTAGCAGCCAGAGGTGAAGGCCAGGGCTGGATCTCACGGGGCGCCATGGATGTGAATACATCCCTACTTGTATGCCATGGACGTGAATGCATCCCTATCGCAGATCCATGCCTGTGGTGTAGTGGTGAAAGATGAGGCAAGAACTGTGATTTTGTAAATTAGGGATAGAATTCTACCTTGGGGCTTAACAATAGGTTCCGTGAGTAGATAGCTTAGGTTAATAGTGTGCTGGAAGGAAGGCAGGAGGGAGAGAGATTAATATCCGACATTTGTTGTTAGCACAGCCACTGGCTGACGTTATCGTACTGACAGAACCAGATTGTCATGAAAGAGCAGCGTACTCCACTCAAAGGTATATAATGTCTTCACTGCATATGAAGAGACATGATTAATTAAGTGTGATGTCTTACCTGCAGATGGATCTCATCTCATAGAAAATGAAACTCTGTCCGCTAGGAGTGCCGGGTGATTGTAGCGTGCAAGGGAAGAAAGTCAGAAACGTACAGGGATTGTACAACATTTTCAGTTGATGGTTCAGAAAGTAACAGATCAAACAAAAACCACAGTGCCAGGTACCTCCTGAAAGGCCAGAGTATCCCCATTCCATTTTACAATGCAACTGGCTGCAGAGTTATACCAATACTAATTGGGAATAAGGAAGAATAGATTTTAAGTCTTAGGCTGTTAACCATTTGGAGGTATCTTTTCTGTTACATGTGCACGCACAAGTTCAAGCCATTATCGCAATATAATTATATACTTCAAAAAATAATCAAGAACTGTGGTTTTGCAGATTGTACTGTCAGCTCATTACTGAGCCATTAAAAAACTGATTCCAGCA